GTGTGTGTGCCTTATCTACCTAATTGATCTGAAAGTACAGAGATAGTTCTCTTGAAAATGACAGTTGTGCCATTATTTACTCATCCTTGTGTCATTCCAAACCTGTATGCTGTTATTTTTCTGTGGAACACAAAAGTAGAAATTTGAAGAGTACAATCTGTTCTGTGGATACCATTTTTAAATTGAATTTCTTGTGTTAGACATTGACTATTATGTGCAGAATTATTCTAAAATGAAAAACTTCCAATTTTGGAAATGTAAACATGTATAGAAAGTTTTTGAGTCTTTTTGAATTGTTTATTACAAGGATAGGCTCATAAAAGTCATTTGCTCGTGAATCAGACTTCACTGATTGTTTGGTCTGTTTTTGATTCGCTAAAAAGAATAATTTGTTTGTGAATCCAACTTCATTAGTTGTGCTGTATGTTTTTCATTCACTAAAAACAACCAGTTTAAAAGATTAATTTGTTCAACAATTAACAGCATACAAATTAATGAACAATTCCTATCATGTTTAAATTCAGAGTCACACCTGAACAGTCACAGCTGTTGGATGTCATTACTGTGGAATTATCTGGATTAAAGGGGTCATATGATGCAATTAAAATGTTTCCTTTCTCTTTGGAGTGTTACAAGCTCTTGGTGCATAAAGAAGATCTGTAAAGTTGCAAAGACTAAAGTCTCAAATCCAAAGAGAGATTCTTTATAAAAATTAAGACTTGTCCACGCCCTCCTAAAACGCCTCGTTTAAACACGCCCCCACATGTCTATGTCACTGTGTGGGAAGATTTGCATAACACCGCCCAAATGTTCACGCAAAGAAAGAAGGCATAACTTTTATTCTCGCTGTAGTATTGTTGCTGCCGCCATGTCGTGAAGGCGCTGTGTGTTTCGTTGTGAAAGCGAAAAATAATGTTCTTTTTAGCAGCATCATATGACCCCTTTAACTCTCACACTGCCAGTTGATTCTTCACTGCGGATGTGTACTTTAGCACTGAATCTTCATACATTTTAATCTCATGGATGCTCTTGAAGGATTAGGATCAGGATGACTCAAAACACACTGATACATCCATGATAATGCATAAATGGTGTACTATGCACCTGCAAAAATCCAGCAGAAATAGTGTTAACAGCATAAAATAGTTTTGTCTCAAAACACTCAATCTGAGATGAAAGGGAGAGGAAGAGAGATGGATTTGATCTGAGGAACATTTTCTTCAATTTACAGAAACTGACTTTCTCTTCATTGATTTTCTTAAGGGTCTTATTGTGGCGGTTCTCTACTGTTTCCTGAACCAGGAGGTGCGTGATTATTATTTAGCCCTCACACACCATAAAAATACAAAATATACTCCAAAATTCATGATAATGTGCTGAAAGCTAGATTCTATAAGTGCAATGAATGCCCTTATGCATTTGCAAACTGTAAAAATGCATGCAGGTCAGATATCTGGACAAACCGGCTTGTTTACTGTTGATTCTGCAAGTCAGGTTTGTTTTTGAATGGAGATAATCAGCGTTCTCAGAGGCCTTAACAACATTTGTAGTCAAAATCTGGCCCAATAAAATCCTTGACAAACATGTTTGCCAGTCTTTATAAATCTGATTAAGAAACTGATTGGGGAATTAACAAGAGAACTGCTTAAAGGCCAATATGCAATTAAGGATAAATAATAATAATGCATTGTATTTCAGTATTGCATTTAATTAAAGTGATTTTTAACAGCCAATATATTAAACCAGGGGTGCCCAAGCTCGGTCCTGGAGGGCCGGTGTCCTGAAGAGTTTAGCTCCAACCCCAATTAAACACACCTGAACCAGCTAATCAAGCTCTTACTAGGCATACTAGAAACTTGAAGGCAGGTGTGTTGAGGCAAGTTGGAGCTAAACTCTGCAGGACACCGGCCCTCCAGGACCGAGTTTGGGCACCCCTGTATTAAAGGAACAGTTCACCCAAAAATGAAAACTTACTGAAAATCTATATCCAAGATGTAGATGAGTTTGTTTCTTCATTGGAACAGATTTGGAGAAATGTATCATTACATCACTTGCTCACCAATGGATCCTCTGCAGTGAATGGGTGCCGTCAGAATGAGAGTCCAAACAGCTGATAAAAACATCACAGTAATCCACAAGTAATCCACACCACTCCAGTCCATCAATTAATGTATTGTGAAGTGGAACACTGTGTTTGTAAGAAACAAATCCTGTCATGTGGATTACTTGTGGATTATTGTGATGTTTTTATCAGCTGATGTTCTCTCATTCTGACGGCACCCATTCACTGCACCAATTCATCTCATTTACATCGTGGATGACCTGAGGATGAGTACATTTTCATTAATTTCTCATTTTTGGGTGAACTATTTCTTTAATAATATATATACATATAAAAAACATTAAGAAGGTACGTTAGATTTAGGTTTGGTTTTGATTGAAGTCTCTCATGAGATTTTGTGATTATATATATGTTTGTCTGCCAGGTTCAGAATGAAATACGCTTACAATGGATGCGAAATCAAGAGGGGAGTTACGTTGTCGTCCCTGTTGGAGCCAAAGGAAGTCAGATGGACACTCCATTCTAGAGTCACTAAAACTCACCAGTGCCTCCATACAGACCTCAACACCTCCTGAAAACATGAACATCTGAATGAAACAGTTTTATTAAATGCAGATCGTATTGCTCAGTTTATATGACAACCAATGGCTTAAAGAGCCAGAATATATTTGGGCTGCAGTATATCTGTGAATTACACACATCAAAAGTTCATCAGAGAGTAATGTAAAATTTGTTTTAAAAAAATGTGAATACTGGAATTTATCGTAGCAAAACTGGTGCTTTTGGTGGGATTCTGGGTGGGTTTAATCAAAGTACATCCAGATATAGAGAACAACCTATAAAAATATACTTCTGTTGCCCTTCAAATTCAGATATTTAATTATAATATTTGTTTATTTCTTTGGGGAAATGTTAAACTGTAAAAATTTACCCAATAAAAGGCAGTATGGCAGGTTTAATATGTATGTATTTATCTGTATGTAAGTACATGTTTACAGTATTTAAAATAGAGAAATATAAATATTAATTGTAAGATTTAATGGATTTCTGAGTGAGATTCAGGTAACCGGGGCAAGTTGTTACATGATTTATATGTTGCAATTTTGTAGAATTTGTTAGCTACAATTTCTATTGGCAAAAATAGAGGTTTTATATTTCCTTATCTTTTATTTCACAAGTTGTTTTGTGTTTCATAACTTTATTTCTGTTTACATTTGAAACGCCTGTAATAGGCTGTCAAGTTCCCATGTGTGACAACTTACCCCATAGTAAGTCAAAGTAAACAGTTGAGAGAAAAACAGATGCGTGTCTGTATATTAGATGCGTGCAGGTCTTAAAGTGACAGCAGACTAACAGTACTAGCCTACACATGCTGCCGCTTGTCATTAAATGGACAGTTCACCCCAAAATTTGAATTTTATCATTATTTACACACTCTCATATTGTGCCAAACCTGTATTAATTTCTTTATTTTGCTTAACACAAAAGAAGATATTTTGAAGAATGTGGGTAACCAAACAGTTGCTGGTCCCCATTGACTTTGATAGTAGGAAAAAAATACTATGGAAGTCACTGCAGGACCAGCAACTGTTTGGTTACCCACATTCTTCAAAATAACTTTTATGTTCAACAGAAGAAAGAAACTCATTCAAAACAACTTGATGCAATGATGAGCAAATGATGACAGAATTTTCATTTTTAGGTGAACTATCCCTTTAATGTTAATAAAACAACAAAACACAAAGAGAAAATTCACTCACTGCTCTTGAATGAAGAACTTTAATACAGTTGCTTTAAGAAGAATCAATTATTTATACAGTGAAGTGTATAGTGTTTTATTTATTTGTTCATTCAGTTTCTTGAATGCTTCTGCCAAATAACCTACTGGAAGATAAAGGGGAAATTTAGATTTTTAAATAAAGTTTTATTTGTATATTATGTGTATTTGTACTTAGTTTACGTAGTTTAGCTGTACTGCTCAGACAACTTGCAAAATAGTAAAACAAACATGACAAAGAATCGTGATAGAATCGTGATTTTCCTGGAAAAAAAATCGCGATATGATATCACTACCACATAGTGTGATAACAACATGCCCTGCAATTTGCTCATCATATATTCCTGTATCTTTTTTCCCTGAAATAACAGTAGCCTATAAATGTTCAAAAGCATCTTCGTAACAAAGACTGAAAGGAATGTATTTATAAAGACACTGACTAAACCCACTCTCGAAGCTAAAAGTGTGACAACTAGCCCCGGTTTCTCTTTTCTGCTGGTCCATTCTTTCTTGGTCACTTAAAAATGACTTAAGTATTTAAGTGTTGCAGCTGCACTTTAATTTTAACGTAGCATTTGTAATTTGAATGTGTGAGGCTTCCGGTGCCATTCAGTTATTTTAGCTGCAGGCCTACTAAAACATTCCGTTATGCTGCTTGACAAACTGGTACACTCTAAAAAATGCTGGGTTAAATACAACCCAGTGCTGGGTTAAATAGGGACCAACCCAGCAATTGGGTACCCAGCACTGGGTTGTATTTAACCCAGCATTTTTTAGAGTGTAGGCCTATTTGTTGTGATATTATTTTTAATTCATTATCGTAATCATAACACAGTTTGTCACGCTAATAGTCTTACCGTTTACTGTTTGTTATTCTTCTAGTTCTTTATTTACCTGTAGTAGCGACTAATGAACAGACGTCTCGCACATTCAAAGAAAATAGCTTACTTCCGTGTTTCAAAATAGAGCAGATTGAAATGCCAAATGTGTTTTTACAGTGCAATGATTTCATGTTTCCAAAGGCTTGTGTTGCTTTATATTTAGCCTTTTCTAATTTTCACCAAATGTGCATTTATACTCTGTTGCCTATAAACAGCTAGCAAAATAATTGTAAACTTATTTTTAATATAAATATTGTATTAGGCTATACTGTATATTTTCCACCTGTAATACATTCTTTATTTGTTTATCTGTCTGTTTTCACATGCTCTTTGAGCAGCCAAGTGTATAAAAGCATTAAATGATCAGAGTGCATCACAGAGATGGAAATATTACAAATTTTATGATGCTCTATGTGTGTAATGGCATTATTTATTTCATTTTTTCACGTTAATTGTGCAGTTAAGCTGATGTTGTCATGTGGTTATGTTTGTGTATGTGCGTAAGCAAGCTGGCGCAATGAGCTCACTGTTTTTCCGATTTTTGTTGTTGATTTTTCTGCTTTAATGTCTAAAATATAATTAATTTTTATTATAGGAGGAAAAATGTACAGAAATTACCAGATGTCCTTCAGAAATCTTTTAAATACAGCTAGATTTGTCTGTCAGTAATAAACACTGACCTCTGCTGGTCAATACATCACACTACTATTTATTCATCATATTTATTTTAATGAGATAAGTCATGTTTAAGTTTTTTTTTTTTGTTGTTAAGAATTACAGCCAAATTGAGGAGCAGCCAAAAATGATCCTCCTTCGTTTATTTATTTATTTATTTTTATTAAAGCAATTTTTGCATGTTTTCACAAGCATTTTCATCTAATCTGCCACGAACCCAAGAAATGTTGACCCAATTTTGCAAAGTATTTTGGATCTAGCAGCTAGCACTAGGACGTCCAATTCACTTTAGCGAATTGATTCTTTCAGATGATCAGTTCAATGAATCGATTCACCGCGAGTCATCACTTAAAATGTTTTTCGCTTTATTTTTATTGTTAAAATGTCTTTTAGATTAGTTTATAGTTTATAGCCTGCCCACACGTGCTTTAACAATTTTAACAATATTTCTACCGTCATTCCTAAAGTTATATTTCTACAGTCAGGTGATTTACAAATACGTTGTGAATTGGTTCGACCCTAACATTTAAAACAATCGGCTCAGCATTAGTTTGTTAAAAATAGCAACCCTAATTATTAGTAATAATTCCACAATATTGCTCTCCAGTTTTTACAGCGATTTGTGAATCGCTTGGCGAATCGGTTCGACCGAATCATTCAAAAGAGTCTGTTTATAAGAATGATTCATTCGCGAGCATTACTTCAGTACTGAAGCATGATGATGGCGAGGCGTGGCGTTTACAAACTCCTGTGTAATGATTGGCGTGCCAAAGTAAAAGACGCTTTCCTTGTTTCCCGAAAAAAAGTTAGGAAAGGAAAGTGTCTTGAGAAAACATGGCGGAGTAAGAGAAAGAAACTTTACCGATGCTTCTTCAAAAAGCGAGAAACTGTCCCACCACAGGACATGTAGCGCGATTACACACTTCAAAGCTGTACAAAACTGAAAGTGAGGTATGAGTTTGATTTCGTTTCTTTATTTGTAATTTTCTAAATCTGAACAGCTTCTCCTCCTCTTAACTAGGCTATTCTGTATGTGTTGCATAGTACTTCCTTTTATTTATTTATTTTTTTTACTTCTATGATTTCGTGAAAAAGATGACTTCCGACTAGTCAAAATGATCTGTACAGTTTATCTCAAAGACACATCAGCAGTGTTGGGGGTAACGCATTACAAGTAACGCGAGTTACGTAATCAGTTCATGTTTTTAGCATTAACTACACAGAGCCGTTGTTCACTGACGAGCTGCGCAAAAAATATGAATAT